CCCCTCACACAGAAAATCGTCATGTGTGTCGTGTGTGCCGTGTGTGTGGTGTCAGTTTGAGTGCCTGACGTGGGTGGCGGGCATCCTCTTCCACATGGAGACCCACGCGCGATGTATCGAGGTGCACTCCAAGCTCCTCCGCGACATGAACAATCACCTGGAGGACCGATGCCCAGCCGCAGCGGCAGCCCCACCCGTCAAGCTGCGATTCGACCTGCTTCAGGAGGCCCTCACCGCACCGTCCACCCACTCAAGGGCGGGGGGCGATGCTGCTGGTGGTGATGGTGGGGACGACCAGCAGTGGGGCGTTTCATCGGACTATCAGGCAACTCCCCCCCACCCCCCACCCGCCGCCCCACATCATCTCTCTCCTCTCCCTGGTTGTGTGTGTGGTTGGCATGGCATGGCAGAGGTTAGAGTGGTTCGGCGACATCGTGCTCAAGTTCGCGGCAGCGTACGGCGCTTTCCATCGGCTGGACGGCACCGGCCGCAACGGCACGCAGAAGGAGATGACGGTCCTGGCCAGCCAGATCAAGACCAACGAGCACCTCAAGGCTCGCACTGACGCCATCGGACTAGGAAGCGCCCTCGTCTCACAGCCTTTCCACAAGGTAGGTAAGAAAGAAGGAGCCCTCTCCCCCTCCCTCTCCATCGAGCGTGTGCGTGCGGTGTGCAGCGTCGCCCATTGGAGGAATCCCGCCTGTGCAAGGGCAAGGCCGTCGCGCAGCGCTCCCAGGTGCTGGAGGAGCAAAGCTGGCGCAAGCACAAGACCACCGCCGACGTGATGGAGAGCGTCCTGGGCGCCGTGTACCTCTCAAATGTCCCCGACGGCGAGCGCGAGGGCAGCACGTGTGTGGACACGCACCGAGGGCTGCTCGCGGCGTTCACCTTCATTGACGCCTTTATCTCGCCGGGCTCGGCGTTCCCCTGTCTGCTTGACATGTTTCCCGAGGCGCGTGTGGCCGTGCTGAAGCATTGTCAGCCGGAGCAGCCGATTGAGCAGCTGTGGGGGTGGACCTTCCGGAGAAAGGGGCTGCTGCACAGAGCCGGCAATGAGCACTCGTGTGTTCAGGTGGGCACACACACATACCCATGCACAGGGAGGGAGGGAGAGGGTGAGAGGGGAGGACGATTGCATATCGCTCTCTGTGCAGATCGGCGTGAGTGAGACGAATGAGACTCTGGAGTTCCTCGGCGACGCTGTGATGGAGCTCTGCATGGCCCACTACCTATTCTTCAGGAAGACCCTCCCAATGCCACTCAACACACCGACCCCTGCCCCAACGGACACAGACACCGACCTGCAGCAGCAGCAGCAGCAGGCGTTCATCAACCAGCCCACAGGCGCCCTCCCAGACGAGAAGCAGCTGACGGCCGTCAAGCAGGCTCTCGTCAACAACGACACTCTCTCCCGCAAGTTCCTGGACCGCATCATCGAGGCAAAGAGGAGCGTGGGCGGCGTGTCCATCGGCGACGTGCTGCGGGTGGGCGATGAGCACCAGCGGGCCATCCTCGACGACTGCCAGAACCGCTATCAGCGGTTGGGGTGGGAGGGGGTCAAGAGCCACTCGTCGGCGAGGAAGACTGTCGCTGATTTCTACGAGGCCTTGGTGGGGGCGACTTACCTGGACTGCTTCTCGCTTGAGGTGAGGGTGAGGGTGAGGGCACGACACACAGGCAGTGGATCGATCTGCTTGTGTGTGGGGCGTGCGTGATTGGGGCGATGTGCAGGAGGTGTGGCGTGTGATTCAGAAGGACTTGACTGTCGAGAGTTTGCCGATTGAGGACCCACCTGAAGAAGGGGAAGACGCCAAGGAGGTGGGCACACCGCCCCTGTAGACACACACACAGAGGCCTCGTGAATGTTTGTCTGTCTGTCTGTCTGTCGTTCTGTCAGCCGTCTGCACCGGTCGCCAAGAAAGCCCCCACGCCATCAGCCATAAGCAGCAACACAAACACAGCAGCACGGCCAACGGTGAGTCTGAGTGACCCGCGCAGCACACACGCCAGCCGACAGCCGACAAGCGATGCGTGTGCCTCCCTCCCCTGCTGTCAGGCCACTGCCAATGTGACGACAGCAGCAGCCATAGCATCATCACCCACTGCAGCAGCAGAAGGAGGGGCAGCAGCTGCTCCAGCCCCCGGCCTCTCTGCCGGTGCTGGCCCCTTCCTGCCCGCCTACGCCTTCCACACCGGTACACACAAGACACAAGACATGTTGCCATCATGCAATGCATTCATCGTGTGGGTATGTCTGCCTGCAGATCTACCCGAGGGCGCCTTCTCCTACGCCTCGCCGTCTCTGCTGTTCCGCCCGCACAGAGGCCCCCAGATGCTGCTCGGCTACCGTCAGGAGGTGGTGGTGGTGCGCTCAGAAAACAAGGGTGACCAGCCCTTCGCTCCCTACTTCCGCGTGTGGGACTATGACCACTACAAGAAGGTGACGACACACAGATGGATGAAGCGATGCACACACACACACGCACACACACACACATGTGACACGTCTATGTGTGTGGGTGTCGTCGGTGGGTGATAGGACAACCTTGACGACCCCAACGCGTACCTTGGCACCTGGCGGCTGCTGCTCAACCTGACGGACCTGGAGAAGGCGCCACTGCTGCCCACGGACACACTCCGAGAGAGGCGCAAGAAACTCGCCGCCGCGTCGTAAGCATGACCCCACCGACCAAACACACCTACACCCACCCTGCAGCTTCATCCGAATGTGTGTGTGGTGCCTGCAGGTATTACGTCCTCACCGGGTCTCGGTCGGTCCCCCACCCCTGTGTGGACCTCGCCAACCTCAACACAGAGGGCCCCTCCGTGGGGCCATACATTCCCTTTCACCTCTGGGACGCCTCAGGCGAGACAGCCGACGAGTACTACGCCTCGTATCTGGCCTCGCCGATGCCCCACCTCCCCTGCCCAATCGACAGGGACCCCACACTGCTGTCGCGCTATGTCAACGACCCCATTTTCGCCAAGCAGGCTGACGGGCGGGGCATCGACGAGAAGGCCGCTGAGCAGCGCGTCTTTGCCTGCCCTGAGAAGATGGTCTCCCTCAAGCGTCAGGTGGTGCGTGGCGGGGGTGCTGGTGGTGGTGGTGGTGGTGGGTCGGCAGCCGAGCAGCAGCAGCTGTCGATGGTCAATAGTGCGGATCTCGCCATAGTGTCACGGCGTCACGTGTACCCCTTCACCGAGTCGTTCCCCGCCGCGCCGTTCGATGTCGTGTGCTCGCCGCCGGGCAGCCCGCGAGAGGGTGGCGATGTGGGGCGTTTTCAGCTCCACGAGGGAGGCGGTGTGTGTGTGGATGGGTTCTGGTGGATGGACCGCAGGGGCATGTGTGGCATCAAGGGGGGAGAGGAGGACGACTGACGTGTGACGATTGATTGATGAGTGGCGACTGATGGGTGAGTGGGGCATGTTTCTGGTGATTGATTGTTTCTGCTCGTTCGTGTGTTCGGGTCTTCGTGTGTTCGTTCGTGTGTATACCTCAATATATACGTCGGTTTTCCGATTTCAGATTTAAGGCGAGATGGAGGGCTCTTTGCCGCCTCGCCTTTGTCCCGTTTTTCTCTCTTCTTCCTTATGTACATACACACACTATTTGTCTCCTGGATGATGGGTGGGTGGATGGATGGATACATTGAAGGGTGGATGCATTCGCTTCTCGGCTCCCTGAAATGCCTGACGTGTGGCGGTCTGATTGGCAGAATACCCTGCTATTTGGGTACCCTGCCATTCAGACAACAAAAGTACAGGTATGTCAGACGAGAGCGAGAAGCGAGGCATCATGGCTGGCAGGGCGGGTGTGTGTGGGTGGGTGGGTGGGTGAGTGGATTGGATCATGCTTGGACGAAGGGCATTCTTGTGCCACCTCTCTTTCTGTCTGTAAACATATCACGGTGAGACCTTGATTGGTGTGACAGCGCGTGTGCGCGTGTTGTGCAGTGTAAGATTGTGCTTCTGTCGATGGGAAGGCGGCTGTCCTGGTCGGTGAGACGCCCAGAACAGCGACCTTCCCGACGGCGGTGCGCGGACCTACACGCACCAACACATGCACACGCTATTTGTCTCCCGGACGATCCATACTATACATACGACGACTGTTTTGTGTTGCGGATTGCAATCATCGGATCTTGTCTGACAAACCTGACATCCGGCGGTCTGATTGACAAGGTATCCTTGCTGATGGATGCATTTGCTTCTCTGACGATTGATGGGTGGGTGGATATGGGAGGGTGGGTGGTCTCGGGGCATGCACGGGGCACGCTTTTGGTGGTTGGCTTTGTGTCGCGTGTGTTTACATGATATGTATACATATATACATACACACACCCTTACATATATACATACACACATACATATACATATCTCATATATATACATACATGCTAGTGCAGGCGATTGATTCTATACATATACCTCGGTTTTCCGATTTCCGATTTCAGGCGTGGTGGGACGGGACGGCCTCTCCCACCTCGCGTCGCCTGCCTTTTGTCCCCTTTCTCCTCCTTCCTATATGCGTTTCGTGTACATACATACGTTATTTGTCTCTCTCAACTGCGGCACGCGCGCACACATGGATGGATGGATGGATGGTAAGGAAAGGGAGAAAGATCGATTTGCCTTACAGCTTGGCACTGAAAATCATTCGCTTCTCGGATTCTGCCTGAAAGGCCTGACGTCTGGCGGCCTGATTGGCAAGGTATCCTCTTATTCGGATGCGATGCCAGTTTCGTCGTTGTATATCAGGCCCGTCAGTCAAATGGGAGTGCGAAGCAAAGCATCATGGCTGGCAGGGCGTGTGTGGGTGGCTTTGATTCCTCGGACAAGGGACGTGCGACAGATGATATATCTTGTGCCCTCTCTCTCTCTCTCTCTCTCTCCCTGTCTGTAAACATATCACGGTGAGACCTTGATTGATGTGAGAGTGTGTGTGCGCGTGTTGTGCGGTGTAAGATTGTCCCGGCGACGGAAAGGCGGCTGTCCTGGTCGGTGAGACGCCCAGAACAGCCACCTTCCCGACGGCGGTGCGCAGACCTACACGCACCGACACATGCACAATGAGGGTTCGGTCACTGACAAGGCTTTGGCCAATGGACAATATGTCTGATTGATTCGTCGAAAAAACGGTTAACGTCAGTGACATGTTTGTATGTACACATTTCGCAATCACATAGATAAACAGAACAAACCCGGCGGCACCACACACAGTCCCTCCTGTGCTATGCTATGCTATGCTGCCTGCATGAGCTTGCCCTTCTTGTCGAAGGCGTTCTTCTGGTACACCAGCACCAACGAGTCCCTCCCCCTCCCTCCGAGTCCCCCATCATTGCCCTCCTCACCCCCACCCCCTCCCCCTCCCCCGCCTCTCTTCTTGCCAGCCTGCCACCACTCAGAGGGCAGCGGGTCAGCAAACCGCACCTTGAACTTGCCCGAAGTCCCGAACGCGCCCTCGATGACGCCCACGTGCTTGGACGGCTCGTGCGTCACCCGCAGGCCCACAAACTGGCTGATGTCGGTCTCCTTCTTGAACAGGTCCTTGCCGATGACGCAGTAGCCGTCCTCTGTGACTCTGTCGACGTGGCCCGTCTTGACTTTGGGCTTCAGCACACGGAGGGAGGACATGGGGACATCGGTGTCGCTGATGGGCGTGAGAAGGCGGCCGAAGAATGCCAGGCGGCAAGAGGGCGAGTGGGCGTCCAGATCGAACTTGGAGCCCATCAGCAGACTGCCCAATGGACACTGCACCCACCACACAACACGCAACACACACACAGGGCAGAACGGCATGTGTGTGGATCATCCACCGCCCCATCGACGGCCCACCTGCACGGGCTTCTCGAAGTGCAACAGGCAGAAGAACAGCTCAAACTCGGCTGCATCGACCACCGCCCCCCCATCTCCACCGCTCTCCCCCCCCACGCCCCCAGGCGGCCTCTCTGCGGGCAGTTCGTCAAGGTGGTCATACAAGAGCGACACGTCCAGTGTGTCGGGCCACGCCGCGGCTTTCTCCCGCACCAGCAGCCCCACACCAAGCGCAGAAGGGTTCGACACTGACGCGGGCGAGAGGCCATCATGGCAAGGGGAGGAGGAGGGAGAGGGGGGGTGGCCATTGGCGGCTGATGGTGTGTTTGCTGTTGGTGTGGTGGGTTTGTTCTTCCTTTTGAGTCCGAAGAAGTGGACGTTGGCCATGACGGTGGTGTGGCCGATGGTGCAGTGGAACTTGGCCTTGCTGCGCACCTGACACATGAACACACAACAGAGACGCATTCATCACATCAAGCTGTATATGTGTGAGCGAGTGGCGCGTGCCGTACCTGTCCTTTGAAGTATTTGATTCGCTGCACGACGGCCACACACGAGGTCAGGGTGGGCAGGGGCGCGCCCACAGACGTCACCATCCCACGCTCCTGACACACGAAGACACACACGGCCATATACACAACATCGACTCCACAGCGCGCCGAACAATCGACATATATCCGGCGACTGACCAGCTTCTCGCCTCCGATGGCCGGGACGCAGATGGACACACGGTCGCCGTGCGACGCACAAGGGAGGTCCTGCTTGAAACTCTATACACACGCACACACATCACCACGATCACCCACCCCACCCCACCCATGAAGTATACTCCTCCTTGCCACATCTTGTCACACCTGAATGGTCCTGACGCGTGTCTGCACTGCGTGTGGGTAAATGACGATATTCTGGCCGACCTCCAGCCGCCCCGACAGCAGTGTCCCCGTCAGCACGGTGCCCTTGCCCTTCAGAGGGAAGGAGTGGTCGTACACCATGTGCATCGGAGCCGATGACGAGGCGGCATCGCTCGCACTCGGCCGCCTAGGGGGGTGTCGCCTGACGGTGTCGACCATGGTGTTGATCAGCGATGCGATGCCGATGGGCTCGGCGAGTCGAGTGACGTCCTGCTCCGCACCTGACATCCATCCATCCATCCACACACATGGCGGGCAGACAGACACACGTGTGTCTGATTGAGAGTGTGAGAGAGAGTGTCTACCTGGGTTGGCAGATACGGGGAGTATGGGGACATCGCTGCCGAACAGAGTGCGGCCGAACACCTGCTTTCGAAGCCCTGTCGTCAGCTTCTCCAGCTGGCATACACACACACACACACATCGAGAGATGGCAGCCCGGCCCTGGTGTGTGCCCACCTGGCTGTCATACCTTCTTATGCCTCTGCTCCTCTGGAATGAGGTCGACTTTGTTGAGCACGACCACCACGTGCTGCGCCAAGATCTCGGCAATTACCAGGCACTCCTGCGTCTGTGTCTGCACCCCCTTGGTCGCGTCAATCACCAGCAGCACCAAGTCGATGATGTGCGCCCCCCCAATAATGGTCTTGATCAGCGAGGCGTGCCCCGGACAGTCCACCAAGCAGAACTGCAGCTCCCTCTCCCTCTCGTCAGCAGCCTCATCGGCACCCACAGTGGTCTTGACAAAGAAGGCAGAGAAGCCGAGGTCGATGGTGATGCCTCGTTCCTGCGACTGGGGGTGTTTGTCGAGGGCTGCCGTGGACGTCACGCGGCTGAGCGCCCGCACGAGGCTGGTCTTGCCGCTGTCGACGTGACCCAGCACACCCACGTTGACATTCAGCCGACGAGCCATCGGGACGGAACCGTGCAGATCTGTCGACACACACACAAATGCATATGCCTATCGATGACCGTCGGCGTCAGGGTGTCCGTGCGCCCCTCACACTCACTTGTGGAAGATCTGACCTCGGTGTCGGGCGGCTGCTTGTCAGATGACAACCTGCAGATCAGATGGATAAACAGGAGGATACATCAAGTGCATGTGGAGTCTGTTGCACATCCGTGCCATCATCATACATACACACTCACGGCAGATCTGCGCTGCACTTTGCCGAACTCTACGTTGATCAAGGCCGTTGCCGCCTCCCTGCAATCTGGCAGATGAGATCCGCCACCCCTCTCAAGACAGCAGACTGCGAGCTCAAGCCAAAGTCAGGTCGCAATCGGCGCGAGTCAAGGAGCAAAGAGAATGTAGCATGGCGACGACAGAGGCGTGCAGGGTCCGTTGACGCCACAAAACAGCACTCCGATCCATAGCTTTCGCGACTTGGCTGCACGATGGCTGCCAGTGCCGCCGCCCAGGTGACAGAGAGGGAGCTGCAGGCCAGGCAAATCCCTACATCATGACGTGAATCACTTGTGCTGTCTGTGTGTGGCTTGTCGTTCGGTTTGGTGCAGATGAGCGCGGTGATACAGGCGCAGCTGATGCCCCAGGTAGAGGGCTATCGGCTGAAGCAGGCTCAGGTATCAGCTAACCAACACACATACCAACTCGTCCATTCCATGCGGTGCATCCAAAGCTCATCGGCTGCCTTGTGTGTGTGTGGTGTGCAGGTCAACAGCTGCATTGATCAACTTCTGCAGATGGACACCGCAGCTTCGATGGCACCACTGGTGGGGCAGGCTGCCAAACACACCACACACCACAAGGCCCTCTGTGTGTCTGTGGAGTCTACTTTGCTTGGCGTCGCTCTCGTCGTGTTGATTCATTCGTCAGATGGTGGCCAAGGTGAGTCGTCAATTTGCTGCTGTGTCGAACCTGCTGGCCGAGTTGGCAGAGACCATCAACTCGACCATCGCACTCACAAGACATCGCCGCACACAGGTGAGTGGGGGAGTGACCACAGGCAGGCACAAACACAAGACCCACACTGATGTGGTGTGCACCTCTTATGTGCTGTGTGTGTATGTCCTTCTTTATGTGTGTCATCAGGCGCGACGATTGCACCTGACTGACATTCCCGCCAACCCCATGAGCGTCGTCATGGAACTGTCTGACCTCACCGCCATCGCCCACCTCAAGTCGACAGCCCGACCCATCAGAAATACCCTCCGGCCGATCGTCCGCCGCCTTCGGCTGCCGAAGGCCATCGAGCGGGCGGGGGTAAGCGGTGTGGTGCAGTTCGACGATCAGCTGAGCCACGGCGATGTGATGAAGGGCATGTGGGTGGTAGAGGAGGGGGGCGAGGGCGGCTGGGGGGAGGTGGCCGACACAGTGAGAATGTCGGAGCACTGCGGCTATTGCCAGCTGCCGGTCACTGTGGGTGCTGGAGACCTGCAGACACACGCCACCAAGGCGGTAAGCACGATACACAGAAGAGGCAATCGGTGAGCTGCTGGATGTGTGTGTTGGCTGCAGGACTTCTTGGCGCTGCCCCATTTCTGTGCCCAGTGGATGCTCGTCGGCCGCCGTGTGGCCTTCCGCCGCGCCAACGGCCAGCAAGACGGCACACTCGAGCTGTTCCGCCACAACAACAACGAGCTCCGGATCATCCGCAATCAGCCCAACTTCACCATCACCATCAACCCACCCCTGCCCCTCCTCAGCCGCCCCATCCATCCCTTCTCGCAGCACCCCTTGACCCACCACGCCAAGCCACACGACCCGCCCGCCAGCAGCCGCATTGTGTGGCAGAACGGTGTTGGCTGGGCGACGGTTGGTGTCAACGACGGGCATGCTTTCGCATCGGCGAGTTCCATGCTGAAGGACTTGATGCTGGGTCACCGGCTGTTGGTTGTGGGCGGCTGTTGGTTGTGGGCGGCTTCACCTACTCGCCGACAGTGGTGGTGGACCGGTGAGTGGATGGACGGCACACAATGAGAGGGCGAATGGCTATGTGGTGCGCTATTGATGTGTGTGTCAGGCGTGTGCGGGGTGGCCACCTCGACCGCATCGTGACCCAGTCGCCGCACACGCCCCTCGACGGATGCTCGGACGTGTTCACACGGGAGTGGGCCAATGGACTTTGTGCGCAGATGCATGTGCTGACGACGTCTGCCGACCCATTCATCGCAGGGATTGACTTTGTTATCCAGCCAGGCAACAACCAGGACGGTACGCACACACATTCACAGCACATCCTCATGCTGTCGTGTCGTCTGATCGTCCGCTCCTCTCTTGTCTGCATGCAGTGCGCGTCACAGTCAGTACCACCGAGGTGCTAGCAGCAGGTGTGGCCACTGATGCGCCCTTCGCCCAGCGGTTCCCCCGGACGGCCGCCAAGGTGCGTCGCGTCCTCGGGTCGATAGCAGCTGTCGTCCTCGATGGCCAGGCACCGTAGCTACAAAGTGAGAGCCCCGCAGATGATGCAGACATGCATCTGATGTGAATGCACAAGACGCCTGCGTGTTGGTCTCTGTCATGCAGGATGGTCGTTTGGCTCGAAGGATGACCGGCTTGACTGGGCGGCTGACTGGCTGGCTGGCTATTAGTGGGATAGTGTGTATGCAAGTTGGCTGCATGTGGTGCGTCCGGCCGAATGGGATGGGCTCATATCCGTGGAGTGGACGCGTGTCTGTGCAGACAGACAGACGGGTGCATGCGCGTGAAATCCATCCGTGACAGAGATGGAAGGCACAGGGATGCGCGAGCCATTCACAGCTGAATCCGCATGCACTACAGTCAGCAAAATACGCACACGACACTGCCAGCACGCTGGCCCTCTCTTCAACACGTGCAGCCTGCCGATGTGCCTGCGCCATCAATATACGGACAAACATCAACACACATGCGCATCATCATGCCATCGTGTGGCTCTCACCTTCATGGTCTAAGGCGCCTGGCCATCAAGCACGATGGCTGCGGTCGGCCCGAGGACGCGACGGGCTTTGGCGGCCGTCCGGGGGAACCGCTGGGCGAAGCGGGCGTCATGGGGGACACCTACTGCTGGCGCCTCGGTGGTACTGACTGTGACGTGGACTGCATGTAGACAAGAGCAGAGCAGATGATCAGACGACACGACAGCATGATGATGTGCTGTGAATGTGCTGTCAATGTGAATGCGTACCGTCCTGGTTGTTGCCTAGGGGGATGACAAAGAAAATCCATGCGATGAATGGGTCGTTGAATGAAGTCAGCAAATGCTGCTGCCCACACCACCCACTGGCCACCTCGAATGCCACCACGTCCGAGCATCCGTTGAGGGGCGTGTGCGGCGATTGGGTCATGATGCGCTCGAGGTGGCCACCCCGCACACGCCTGACACACACATCAATAGCGCACCACACAGCCAATTTGCCCTCTCATTGTGTGCCGTCCATCCACTCACCGGTCCACCACCACTGTCGGCGAGTAGGTGAAGCCGCCCACAACCAACAGCCGGTGACCCAGCATCAAGTCCTTTAGCATGGAACTCGCCGATGCGAAAGCATGCCCGTCGTTGACACCAACAGTCGCCCAGCCAACACCGTTCTGCCACACAATGCGGCTGCTGGCGGGCGGGTCGTGTGGCTTGGCGTGGTGGGTGAAGGGGTGCTGCGAGAAGGGATGGACGGGGCGGCTGAGGAGGGGCAGGGGTGGGTTGATGGTGATGGCGAAGTTGGGCTCGTTGCGGATGGCGCGTAGCTCGTTGTTGTTATGGCGGAGCAGCTGGAGTGTGCCGTCTTGCTAGCCAGTGGGGCGGCGGAAGGCCACACGGCGGCCGACGAGCATCCACTACGCACAGAAACGGGGCAGCGCCAAGAAATCCTGCAGTCAACACACACATCCAGCAGCTCACCTATTGCCTCTTCTGTGTGTCGTGTTTACCGCCTTGGTGGCGTGTGTGTGCAGGTCTCCAGCACCCACAGTGACCGGCAGCTGGCAATTGCCGCAATGCTCGGCGACTCTGAGTGTGTCCGCCACCTCCCCCCAGCCGCCCTCATCCCCCTCCTCCACCATCCACATGCCCTTCATCACATCGCCGTGGCTCAGCTGATCGTCGAACTGCACCACACCGCCCACCCCCGCCCGCTCGATGGCCTTCGGCAGTCGAAGCCGGCGGACGATCGGCCGCACGGCGTTGGTGAAGTGGCGGGCTGTCGATTTGAATCGGCCGATGGTGTTCACGTCAGAGGCTGCGACGATGATGCTTATGGGCTCAGCGGGAAGGTCCGAGAGGTCCGTCGGTGTGGCCTGATGCCACACAGCAATGCCATGCACACGCAATACATGTGGCGTCTCGTTGTGCGTGTCTTGCTTGTGCCTGCCTGCAGTCACACACCTGCACGTGGCCATCGGTATGGTTGTTATGTGTGGCAGAATTGTTCGGCTCATCACCTGACAACGACACAGACACACACAAGGGCGTGGTTGCGTGTTGGTGTCCCATTCTCCCTTACGAATGTGTGTGTCGGCTCACCCTCCTGTGCTGTCTGTGCGATTACGGTCTCTATTATGTGCGCCAGCTCTGCCAGATGGTCGGCCGCAGCAGTGAGTTGACGATTCACCGTGGCCACCACCTGACGAATGAATGAACAGAACAAGAGCAACACCAACCGAAGCATGACACGCACAGAAGCCATTGTGTGGTTCTGTGTGCTGCCTGGCACCCTGCACGCACCTGTGTTGGCAGCTGAGTAGAGTCCATCTGTGAGAGCCGTGTGATCTGTGTGTTTGCCTGCACAACATATATGCCACCACAAGCAGCACCAGAGGCAAGCAACCGACCGATGTGGATGGACTGCAGTAACGAATGTGTGAGTGAAGTGTCGGTTAGCTACCTGAGCCTGATTCATCTGAAGGCATCCTACGATCAAAGGCGTGAACTCAGGCTGCGGCAAAAGTTGCTCACGCAGACGCATCGCAATCATCTGCACCACACCGACCGCAGGACAACACAGACAGCGCAGCACATGATTCCCGTCACACTTTGTGTCAGAATAGGGGGGAGAGAGTCGGGGAGAATGGTGAAGAGAGGATCTGCCGGGCGGTCAGTCCCGGATAAAGGATTAAGTCAATGCAACGTAAGGTCTGTGGATTTTGTGGAGAGTCCACGTAGGACATGTAGTATGCGTCAGTCCATCCTGTCTGACGTCCTGTCCGCCATGGCCTGTCTCATGGAACGGACAGACTCAACAGCCGTCCTGTCTCACAGATCAGTGGATCGTCGGTCTATGAACCCTAGACCCTAAACCCTGGACCGACTTGCACTTCTGACACCCCCTCTCAAGTCGGTGCAGAGTTAGGACATGAATCTCCATAAAACTATAACTGAAACTCCGCGCGTGAGGTCTTCGCCACCTTGAGATCTGCACATAGGAGCCCTTCGCAAGAAGAAAGATCAGAAAGAAACGCGTCCAAGGCCATCAGAGGGGCGCAAGGACAAGAGAAGCATAGTGAAGCCGCAGATCCAGATAGCGGACATCACCATCGGAGAGAAGCGAAGGAGTGCTCCAGTGCAACCTCAAGCAAGTGGCTAAAACCACACAAGCGAGATAAACACTTCATGACAAGTTCTGCCTGCCTGTTATCCTCTGACTCAGGTACTCGTGTGCCTCTCTGCCCAGCCCCT